GTTTATGATGCTCGCCTTCACAGCAAGAGGTAATTTGATAAAGGGGTCTGACCGAAAGAACTTGTTGATTCTTATTTTTAATTAAGGTCAATTTGCGAACTATATCATTGTATTTCATTTACATATTGAGTCCTATCTACAAATATATACATATATGTACAAATATATACATATATGTATAAATATATACATAATATTATACTTTTGATGGCACAAGCTGGATAAATTGGAGGCTGGGATTCATACCATATGGATTATATTGGTCCTTAGGGATAGATTAGCATATTATAATAGGATTTATTTTAAAAACTTCATAAAATGTATAAATCTAATCCAACAGGGAAGGTAACTTTATTGGGACAATACACAACCATAGATAAATACAGATCTCTCTTTATTTAATGACCACCTCTAATTAAAGACCACTTTTCTGTGGTCCCAAATTAACATGTCATTTATTTTTATTTTATTTCGTACTAACCAACAGCGATAACAACCGCCACTAACAGCAGGGGCGGATCCAGAAATGTCCGGAAGGGGTCCGGAAGGGGGGGGGGCGAAAGTTTGGCCGATTGAGACAACACTGTCGTAGGGGGTCCGGGGCATGCCCCCGCCAAAATTTTGTATTCTAGACGCCCGAACATAACATTTGAGGCATTCTGGGCTATCATTTTTTTCTTTTTCTCTCTTTTTTCCCCTTTCTTTTTTCTTTTTTTAGCCCCCAAAAGTGGGGCCGGGGCCGCCCCCCCCTAAATCCGCCCCTGAACAGCTTAAAATACATATAAAATATTTATGTAAATAGATATAAAAATACATACATTAAAAAGTACTAACAACTTTAGATTTAAAACATTTAAACTGTCAAAAAAATAATCAACATCAATATTAGACATACAAAACTTATTATAAAATCGCATAAATGTTTAAATAAACCTCTACATGTAACATCAACACAACTAAAGGGTGGGTTAAAAGACCCCTATTTCGGGTATGCCTGGGCACATGTAAATTGAATAAAGGAACTAATTCACAATCTTTACTGTTTTACAGACCAAAGCTGCTAAAGACCATAAAACCCCAAGTCCCAAAAGTAGTTTTTAATTGGAGGGAGACCTGTATAATATATATATACACAGATATAAATACACGATATAATATACATATTGGAATAAAATCTGGTAAAAATCTACAGAAACAGAAACACAAACAATGAAATTATTTAATTTAAAAGTTTATTTCATGTTGAAAGCACATATAACAATATTTTTATTCAATATATACATCACAAGTTTTATATATTTGCCTCATCATCAAAAAATATAGAGAATATAAACTATTAATACTGATAAAACTTCGCTGCATTATAGTAAGTCAAAATTTAATTGTTTAACAATTTTGTGTAACACACAACAATAAACAATCTTATGTGCTGTATGTATTTTTGTATTTATACTGTATTACAAATCAAAAGCACATAACACAAAAAACAATATGAGTGTAAAGAAGAGACAAAGGGTGCAACCCTACACCAATGGCGGGTGACATCCACAATCATTATAATAATAATCGGTACTGTCATTAACATTAACCAGTCTTCAGCTGCTGATAACATTTTGTGCACAGTTCCTCCTCAGGTACTTCCACACTAGTCCTTCCTCATATAAAGTCATATTATATAATTCATTATAATTTGCATTGTAATGGCATGTTCTTATATTCTAGAATTGCTTATATGCAAATATCCTAGGAAATTTTCTTTTATTGATATAATATAGGTCATTCTTTTTTTAGTTTTAATGGTTTTAATTATATTTACAGTGGCGGATCCAGGAATTTTGAATGGAGGGGGGAGGGCCAGCGCAGGGGCTTTCACAGATAGAGGGCCCATACACCTGAGTCCCACCATGGTTGGGGCTGAGGCAAGAAAATTTATGATTATAGCACCTCTCAATAGCCGGAAATGACACTCTCCAGCTTAAATTTGATCATAATTTTATATTTTTCTCCAGTTTCTTTCATAATTTTAAAAAATTTATGAGGGCGCCCCGGGCTGTCTCAGCCCTTCGCCCCAACCCTCCCCCACCCTAAAACTGCCACTGGTTTACTTTTTGTGCATCTTGAAATAAAAGTGGTTGAAATAAAATATCTTTATATTTGTTGAGGCAATTATACTTTTATATATTCGTTCCTGAAAAACCTTTTTTGTCGGATAACAACTGCTACGATAACTGCGCAACATATAACAACCAAGACTCCTATGGTGATTGAAGCTACCGCGCCACCTGACAGCGAGTCGTGGTCTTCGCTCGGCAATGCAAAAATGTGTTCATCCTGCAGCATGGGTTCTTTCTTGAAGTTTCTCTCTAGAGATTGTTTCTCATTGAAGTACCGGGTTTGGTAATCTGGTGCACTGTTGATGTTGGTGTAGAAGTAGGGGAAATCCAGTTTTGGGCACCTGATTGACTTGTAGTCCCAAACCGTGTCCTTAGATCCTACTGGCTGGATCTGAAGCAGAAAAGAAATGTTAAAACTTTCTAATTAAAATAATAAGATGATGAGTTAATAGAGAGTTTTTGATTTGCGCGACGACATAATGCTACAATGGATTCACTCATCCTCGACCGTCCTACGTTCTCTGCAAAACATAGATTTGGGTCAAACTGCATCCTAGGATTCAGGTGACGATGACGATTGAACGTTCTCGCATACGTCTTTATTATCTAGGCCCTACCGCAGTTGTTAAATCAAAATATCCCTCCTATTATGTAGCACATTGGGGCAGGTTTAAGAAGATGCTAGAGGAAGGAATTAGGTGTGAAGAGGGGAGGAGGTGTGGTTGCATATGGAATAATTTGTACAGTAAATGTTTTTTAAAAGAAAAATTGTTTAAAAAAACCCCAAAATCGTATTTTTAACATGACATTTCAATTTTTCATTCTACCAACCAATAACAGTCAGGCCGTGATTTATTAATCACAGTTTGAATGATTTACTAAACAAAAATATTGATTTCAGCTTGTACACACATACTGGCATGAGTGTGGAAAAACCTCCCTGTAATTAGGCTACGAGGTTAGAGTACAGTATTTTAAGGTATTGATCCCAGAACCCTGGAGTTGGAAGGAGGGCACTCTACTTATTAACCATAGTGCTTTACAACTGAACTTACCATATTATTCCAGAGGGCGATAGCACCAGCAGCATGTCCAATCGCGCTAAAATGAAAGCAGTCTGGAGCAAAGAAGGACAAGTCAGGCGCACCGGTCTAGAAAACAAGCAGAAAAGTATTCACCATTCTTAACTGACAGACTTTCTAAAACATATAAATGAGAATGTCATATACAGTAATTACATACTTTATTGTTTTTACATGTTCATACTGCAATTTTTGTTTTTTTTTGTTTTTTTTGTTCCACTAGTTAACAATTTATACTTGTACTGTACTACTTCTTTCTCTTATAATATTCATTTACAGTTTTTATGCAGGTGGCCAAATTCAGCAAGCTACAATTCATCTTTCAAGCAGGGCTAGAAAAATTTATTTAAAGTAGAAAAATTATTAAAGTAGCAAACTTTCATAGTTGACTTAGCTTAGCAAGGCCTGCATTTTCAGTTATTTTTTTCACGCACTTTAACTCTACAAACAAGAAAGCTACAGCTTCCAATTTTTCTATAAATTACTAATCTACAGTTCCACAGAGCATATATTTCTTACCTCAAGTCTCGGAACATCAGAGTTATGAAACATTGGCTGGTATACAACTGTAAAGTCTTCCTTATTATCATACTTTCCGCTCTCTATAGTAGATTGAAGGAATGCCTAAAGAAAATCAAATGAATATAAAATGAAAAAAAAAAAAAATGTAAATTTACGATGTAAAGATTTCACTTGACCTCAAAGCATTCATCAGTTCCTGCAATGCACAGTGGAGGCTTTAAGATTCAGGAGGATCCCTTCCCCACTGGGGTGCTACTGGCTATGTATCTCTTGCAGCTTAGCTCAGATGGCTAACTGTGTGTGTGTTGAACTGTGAAGATCTCTTGGTCCCCGGTTCAATTCCCATCACTGCTCTCCTTGTGTTTCAGCTGGAGGGCTGAAATACAAGTTACGATTACGCACCATCTTTCGGAAGAGACGTTTAAGCAGTTGGTCCTGTGAGCAATATGGCCCATGTGCATGTTGAAGAACACAGTACACTCTTTCGGAAAAGAGAAAAAAAAGAGATTGTCTGCCGGTGTATTAACCACCAGAACGACGCTACCGGAAACAAGTCTCCGGACTAAGTCGTACATCATTGGTGTGGTTCACACTGAACTACTCCTATCCTATCTTGCAATCAGTTTTAGGTGTCTTCAACCGAAGGTAATCAGTAGACACCTCAAGATTCTTGGAAACAGGGCCAGCAATTGTACAAGAGACGGTGGCTACTTATTTAAAACTTAAATGTTTAGTGACATGGCTTGAGAATGAAGTGTTTTCTTGAAATCTTTACCTGATACTGCTTGTTCAGATGGACAACTTTTTCTAATCGCAGTTGAGATCCAAGTGGGCATGGACACTCAACTCTGTAGAGGAAAGTTAAATAAAAGACTAATACTCTATTGATTGATACAAATGATAATATCACATCAAAGCAGAATTATTTTACTTGCAACATGGATTACATACACAATTCCATCAAGTAAACGGAACCAAACAAAGCAAACAAAGGGTTGCTGGGTGTGCAAAAGCCCAAACTCTCCCAAGCGCATTAAGCATTAAAAACAGGTCTCCATCCAATTGAAAACCATGGGACCAGGGTTTCTATGATCTTTAGCAGCTTTGGTTTCTAGAATAATAAAGATAAAAAATATTTGTTAATTTGGGACCAAAGAAAATTTGTCTTTAATTGGAGGTGGTCTTTTATTGGAGAGGTCATTAATTAGAAGGAGACCAGTATCATCATCTAGGTTAAAACTGAGACATTTATTTTAATTATTTAATTAGTTATATTTATATATATAATTAGTTATATTTCAGCTTCCAACATGTATGTTTCTTATGTGTATTGTATTATTTGATCAATAAATGGAAAAGGTAATTGTATCTTTTTTTGTAGAACAAAACTTACAGATGAAGTGCAAAACACACAGGTGTCCGAAGTTCTCTAATCGATGCAATATTCAAAATACCGACAAGGTTCACAAATGTTCTGGGTAGCTGAAATATTGAAATAAAATCATGCATTATTCAATTTTATTATTTGAATTTAATTGAAAAAAACACCACTTGTATAAGTATGGGATTGGGATTCTCACCACTTAGAGGTGTCATCACCATAAAATACCATACCTTAGCCCAAGCATGGTGGGCTGAGAGTGGTGTAAAACCCTCTACTCTTAATGTTCCTCTTTATGCCTCTTTATTTCAAATTTATAGATCTGCCGAATGTCATCCATAAAAAGGGAAAATAAGTAGGCGGTTCAGATGCTTGCTTTCCAATCCCAGGGTCCTGGGTTCAATTCCACTGCAGAATTTTTTCTCATGACTAGTAAAACAACTCCACTCCCTAAGATATCCCAGCATCAATCCATCCTGTAAGTGGTAAGTGTACATGCAGTTGGATGTGTATGAAAATACACTGATTGTCGAATCCCAAAATCATTGCAGGGTCTTCGGTTGGAGCCCCAAATGGAAACACAATAATTTTTTTTAATCTACTTACCTCATCATGTAATACTTTCAAAGCCTTCTCAATGTTTGCAACATAATTCTCCGCAGTTCGTTCCTCGGGTTTTTTACAAGATTGACATAAGTCATTGCCACCAATGAAAATTGTCACAATTTTCCAGTCACTTTCAATGTCAACTTCTGGGTCCTCCTTTATCTTGGCAACCAAATTTTGTGCCTGCCCTTCTAGGCCACTAATAATGAGATAATATTCATTTAAAAGTATATGAATGTAAATGTACTAATAATAAAAATAATAAATATGATTAAATATGCCAATGAGCCGTTACGTTAACTTGATCAGTGGCAAACTAATGTGGAGTTGGGTCTTAAATTTTTCAAAATTATAAAAAAGTGGAGAAAAAAAGGAAATCATAAAAAAAATAAAACGAAGATTTCTGGCCATCTAGAGGTGCCATAATCATAAATTTTCTTACCGCAGCCCACCCATGATGGGGCTGAGGTGCTGTAGACCTTTCATCTGTGAAAATCCGTCCCCCTGGTCCCCTCTACCTCACCACAGGATTCTCCTTTTTTGAAAGCAATACATTTTTATATGAACCACCAAGCAGCAACACTGTTGTTAGAAGCTTTCCATTGGTGTGATGACAAGGGGAACTCGATTGAAATGTAGAATGGACTTATACTCATCTGTGACTGTCGTCGTGTGCGCTCTGCAATCTATTGTAAATCCTTGTTTTACGTTGAGCAAGTGAAGATGTCAAAAATGCAAGAATATATCCGCCTCACCACTACAGATGCTCAGTAGTACAGTATAACCAATGCTTATTGGTTTGAAAATATTTTAAAAAGTAATTCTACAAATTATACATGACTGGTTCATTGGTTGAAATAACAACTCTGAACTTACATGGCCTTCGCTCCTGGCACTGCTACATTGAAGTGCGCCCTCCGGGATTTTGTTCTTGCAATACCAACTGAATACCCATACAAGTCTGGGTTGTATTGCCGCAGTATATCTAACACGAAAAAAAAAATTCAAATGATACTCAATTTTTCAGTTGTATGCTTATATTTGAATTTCATATATCTTTTGACTTTCATTCATTGGAACATAATTCACTAATTTTTTACTTATTATTATTCTTAGATTTTTTCATAGAGGATACATGATAAAAATACATTATGATTTCAGGGGCAGATTTAGAGGTAGGTGAGCCTCAGGGGCTTAGCCAGAAAAACACAATAGGCCATCCAAAATGGAAGCCAGTGGTCGTGGCACTGAGGCAATGGGCGGGCCATGCCCATCTTTAGGATTCCCCACAAAATATTGGTATGAAAACAACATACATTCAATCAATAAATGTTGTTTTTATCAAACATAAATATGATTTAGCTTTAGTTTAATGTATTTTAAGAATATAAAGAATTTGCTAAAAGTAGACCAGGCCCAATTAGGCTAGGCTGAGCTGATTAGGCCAAGCCGTCACGGTAAGTGTTCGCTCTAAATAGTAGGCCGTCCAAAAGACGGCTGGACAGCTCTCTGGCTAAGCCTATGGTGAGCGTTCTAAACAGGTTTATGCTAACCCCAACCCCATAAAATGTTGTTAATGTATGTTTTTATAAGTAGGTGTTGATTTAAACCATCTGAAATAAAGAGTATCAACCCTCTGGCCCTCACTGTCAGACAGTTTAGCCCCACCCCCTCCCCTCCAATGCATCCTAGAACCACCACTGGTTAGAGCATCCTAGGGATGACACAATTTCCCCAAAATATTATCTTATTAACATATGAATCTATTATGTTTTAAAACAGTGTCCTAATAATCTAAGGGTTTATAACAACTTGGCTTTCTAACTCAGTTGGAGGAAGATATTTTAAAATTTTTTTTTTTATTCAAAATAAATCACTTACTTGTAAGTGTAGGATTTTCAGGAAGGCTTTCATCACCACCAATCCTGTTGAGAATAGCAGAAACTTACTTTACATAAAAATTTTCTTACTAGAAAGATTTTACTATCTGCATCTATATTCAAACACATAATTTTGCTATTATTTTTCAGTTTCTCCCTTGATCTTCCCACTAAGCCATGCAGTCACTGTGTTGTACAACGTCCTCCGCTCCATGTAAGTGCTAGACGACGCAACGCCGTCTGCTGATTGTCGGTGGTCGTCTTAACGGATCGTCACTAAAGCGATCAGTTGCGAGTGCGTCGTCCTGTTGCGTTCTTCTTCTCTTTCATAGAATTGTGTTGGCCGACGACCGTCGACCGCAGCGAGTACTCAACTTTAAACACATGTTTTTATTTTTAAGTATTTTGCATAATTACGTATCAAATAATATAGTAATAAATTTAATATTAACAGAAAAAAATAAATCTTTAACTATTCTGGGTGTAATATCATGTTAGTAATATTATTATAATAGACCCACCCTACTCAAAACCCCACTCAACTTTTATTCTCGAAAAGTTCACTTACAATTTTAAAGGACTATTTCAAATTCTGAGTATTTATTGCTACTTGAGCCATCAAGGGCAATTATCCGCTATTAAAAAGAAATTCATAATCACATTTATAACAATTAAATTCACATTACAATTTTAAAGGACTACTTCTAGATTCTGAGTATCTATTGATACTTGAGCCATCAAGGGCAATTATCTGCTATCACAAAGAAATTCATGATCACATATCATTTATAACAATCACATAACTATCACAATCTTCTAAACAAATTAAATTAAGAAAGTATAAAAATTAAGAGCTGCCTTAATATATCTGAAGGAGTGCTTCAAGAGCCAGGTTGTAAAGGAGACTGTTTTTTTTTTTTAGTTCAGATTTTGATTATAAGGGTATTTTTTAAGATAAAGAAGTAGATAAGGTTTTAGTATTTCCTTGTCTCAATAATCAATACTTAAACTTACGACCAGGATACACCACGATACTGTAAGAGAACTGCAGGAACAGTTTCGCTTAGAGCTCCATTGGCAGCCTACAACAAAGAAACGATATAAGTAACGGTAAAAGGAAAGATGAAATCTTGAATACTACTACATCATCACCATCACCTCTACAGTACCGCCGCCACAACTATGATCATGTATTATCATCATCTTTAGCCTCATCTTCATCATCACCATTATCATCTTGAGCATCATCCTCTACATTATCATCCTCATCATTTAACTTGAGCATCAGAAAGAAAGTGTTATATTACCACCACACAATAAAAACCAGCATCACCATTATCATCTCATCCTCATCATTATCATCATCATCAACATCATCTTGAGCATTATCGTCACTCTTATCATATCATCATCTTTAACATAATCACCATCATAACTATTATCATCCTCATCATCCTCATCATCATCATCATCAAAGTCATCTTGAGCATCATCCTTATCCTTATCACAATATCACCATTATTATCATTATCATCATCCTTATCACCATTATCCCTATGCCCGATCACATCAGAATCTTAAAATGATTGAGTACTTACTGTAATGGAGTCTCCAATGGCTCCAATAACTTTTATATCACCAGGTTGTAACTGGTGAACTAAGAAAAAGAAACAAATATAAAGTAAACAATTTTATTATTCACTTAATTAGGACCAATAAGGTGAAAGAGCTTCAGAAATATTACAAATGGCAGGATGCTATAAGGTTTATTTTGTTTATGATTCAAAAATATGTTATTGTGTGTTTCTTCTGTATTATTATGATAAAATTTTAACATTTCATTTTCACATAGGGGTTGTTTTTATGTTTAGATTTAGTATACAGAAGGTTGCAATATTGAGAGCTGCCCTGACAGTGTTTGCACTCCAGGTATTCATAATGTATTCTTCTCTTTGTAATGTTTTTGTTGTATTGTTACCTGAAAATTGCATAAAATGAATATGGTCATGATGACATCACATTAATTATCAAAGAATATTTAATAGTCTGGATAGAGTTTTACACAAAGAAAAATAGGCTCCCAGCTGGAGCATGTGTCTATACTCTGCCTACTGTATCACCTTTACTAATAAAGTATCCACATGGGATTCGATTATCAGGAAATATGTGGTGTTGTATTTTTTTATGAATTTTGTACAGTAATAAGGTACTTAAGACAACACATGACCCATCATGCACATGCGGATTTTGATGACAACATAGTGACACAAAAAACCTTTACTCACACATTTAGAGAGTAGAGTGGTTTAAAGCTAATCTGCTCTTGTTTCACTTTTTGTTTCATCTGTCGTATTTTAATTTTCTTTAATTCACATTTTTTTTATATTGTCTGTCGAAGTACCATAAATTGTTTACACAATTAAAGTCAGCATGTCGGGGTAAAAGCAATAATGGCCTGTCTAATTTATGATAAAAAATTAAGAAATAATTGAATAGGAAAATTATTTCTTAAGGTTTCAGTTTTCCTTAATTTACCTATTCATTGATTCTCTTTTGAAATAAAGAATTGTTAATAGAATTAACCTCAGCATTCAATGTGAAGGTGAAAGCAATAATGGCTGTTCATATTTATAATTAAAAAGTAATAAATAATTTCACTGTAATTATTTCTTACCAACCTGATGTTGGGATTTCCTTTGATCCAGCAGTTGAACAGGTAAATTCACCTGAAGGTAACACATTTCCCTGAAATAAATAATGAAATTATAGTAATTATATTCACAAATTGTAGTAATTAATAATAATTAGTTCTTTTACAGTATGAAATTGTGATCAAAATAGGTCTACAGACTATATAGGAAACAAGTACGATTTAATTTTTAAAATAAATGTTTAAGTAAAGGATAAAAGAGAAAAGAGGAAATAAACAGGGCAAGTTATCAGCCATGCTAAAAGGACTACCCACTTAAAATATAGTTGAATAAATATGTAGTAATAATATTACAATAATTATGTTTATAACATGGCAAATAATACAAAAAAATGTAATCATGAAGACATCTGATTTGGTACAATTTGAGGGCTATTATGCTACATTACCCATTTGCAACTTATATGCACTTAGGACTTTGACAAGCCATAAAAACAGATCAATAATTACCCTACATTACAATGATTACACTAGGTACCTATATTTGAACAACAAGATATAAGAACAAGGAAGATTCTATTGCATTGAAGGTGCAAAGTGATTATGTAACAAAGCCTCTATAAATATACATTTATCTATTTTCATTACTCTATTATGCCGCCACAATTACATGTTATCTCAACATTTCCATTTAGAACCTGGGTAGATTTGCTTGATGTACCCAACAGACCAATCATTTACTGAAATGTCAATATTGTTGACATAAATTGTTTATACTAGACTGTAAAAACCTATAAACAGCCTATAAGGTCACCAAGGGCTGAGATAACAATGGGTGAAGGTGAAACAACATTTTAAAATTCCTTGGTCAGCAGATGGTCAGTATTGATATTACATCCCTCCCCCTCCTCCTGTTATACCCCAGTAATCTTCTGGAAATTGAAATAGGTCTAAGATTTATATTATATATTTCAAATCTTATTTGAAGGTAATGCCTTATATTGTGAAAATGTCCAAGCTTTAACGGTAACAAATAACTGATATCCAAAAACAGTCATTAAAAATATTAATTAAAAAAATAACAATAATATTTATAAAAAAACTAAAATCTTCTAACCTAAAAAATGTTTTATTTATAATAATAATATTAATAATGATAATAATGTTGATAATAATGATGATGATGATAATATTAATTTGCAACTTTAAGGTACAACAACAAAGTCAGATGATTAAATAAACAGAAAAATTGATCTAAAATGTTAATAATGAAGACAATCCATTTTATAAAGACAGAATATTTTAAAGAAAGTATCTTTTGGATTCAGGAACTAAAAACAATTTTAAGACGGTTTAGCCAAGTTGCTAGTTTATTGCAGCACATTGGGTTTAAGTGAATGCAAAAAAATAGATGAAAGATGGAAAATGTAACTGACTTGGTTACATAATCTATCTCTTCCCTATTACTCAATTCATGGAGACATAAAAATATCTCCATGCCAAATTTGGTAAATATGGATTTTTTTTTTTAAAGAATGGTACTTACCCATGCTCTAGCTGGCTCACTTTTTGGGGGAACCTCATGAATTGATATATTGGCTAAAGCTTTTTCCAGTGTACCTTTAAAGAAATAAATAAAATATATATATATATATATATCATATCAAACTTAGGGTAGTAGATATTTTAAGGGTGGGCAAGTGATAACTTTTTTACTCTAAATAATAGATTAAAGATTTTTAAAATGAATAAGGGTGTTAATAAAGGTGGATGGACGGTCATGAAATTAGCTTTAGACTAGGTGGAAAACTTCAAGGCACCATAACTACATTCCTGATCCTGATTACATCCCTACTATTTTTTCATTAGTATCAAAGTACTGCATTTCTTTTCTGTGAAATCAGAGGCCAAAATAATTTATAGAAACACCAACGAAGCCTTACCATCGGTCCAATAGGAAGAATCATCATCAACTGACTCTGAAGTACTTGTAGAGATGAATACAACCACAATTGCAAGGAAAACAATGAATCCTTTAGAAGTATCCATCTTGTTAGCACATTGAGTGTTCAAAGCTTATAGAACTGCAGTGAAAATGTATCAACTCTGTTCCTAAACTTGGTGTTAACTGTGTAACTGGATGACAATGCAGAACATCCACGATCAAAATAATCCTGTAAGTTTCTGATTGGTCGGTCATCCATGAGTGGTTTGATTGTATCAGAGCGTTGCATATCATAAACATCAAATTCGAAACCTAGATGCTATAAATAGACCAGATAACTACTATTCAATGAGTGTGTTTTGGTATTAACAATAACTGGGTCAAGATGGTCACTCATAAAACATGATATGCTTTGACATCAGCAAATTTTGTGGGATATTGATATATAATAGAATTGATATTCATCTTGAGACTCAGATTTCAATTTGTAAACATTTGTTGAACAGAGAGGCAGGGATGGGATGCAGTTTTTAAATAAGCAATATTTTCAAAACTTCTAATTCAAGAGTGTTTAATTCTGAGACCCCTCTAATTTAAGACCACTTATTCAAAGAACCAAATAACAATCATCAATCTTTTGATACAAAGCTTAACCCTCTAATTGGAGACAGAACCCCAAGAGACCACCCCAAATTTTCTGGTACCAATGGTGGTCTTGTATTGGAGGGTGAGCATGCGTATTTTGATCATCATTGTAAATTCCAATCCAATGTAGTCATTTATATTAAAGCACCTTTCTTTATTAATTCCAAAATGTTGACAGTGATACACCCAATTTAGTGTTCCTCTTCCTTGTTCCCTTTCCCATTGTTGTACCCACCCTCTTTCTTTGTGCCCACCGTTTTTGCCTCCCTTGCTTAGTGTCCTACACCTTGTTCCCTTTTGCCCAGCCAGTTTTTAAATATTTGATTAACTTTTAATATGTTTCTGACTGCAAAGGTTAATAATTTATTAACTTTTAAACAGAAACAGATTGGGATAATAGTTTTTGTTGATACACAGAAATTTTGCTACAAAAATCCTTAAATTTCTTACTAACCAAGGATGCAAAAGAATAGGAAAGTTGTTATGTAATTGTCTGTTAGTTGACGGGAAAATATACTTCTATATTTGTACTGAATAGTAATCACTTGTCCCCTGGTCAGTTTAGGGGTTTCAATAGCTTATTTAAGCGAATTCAGAGTCTACTAATATGTAGAAAATTGTATATAATTTTTTCACCTCGATGAATGGTGGGTTTTCTATGCGACAGAGAAGGGGGAACCCTGGCCCCCAACACACCCCAGCCCCTGGTTCTTTAAAAAAATATTTGATTAACTTTTAGTATGTTTCTGATTGCAAAGGTTAATAATTTATTAACTTTTAAACAGAAACAGATTGTGATAATAGTTTTTGTTGATACACAGAAATTTTTCTACAAAAATTCTTAAATTTCTTACTAGCCAAGGATGCAAAAGAATGGGAAAGTTGTTATGTAATTGTCTGTTAGTTGACGGGAAAATATAGTTCTATTTTTGTACTGAATAGTAATCACTTGTCCCCTGGTTAGTTTAGGAGTTTCAAAAGCTTATTTAAGCGATTTCAGATTCTACTAATATGTAGAAAATTGCATATAATTTTTTCACCTCGACGAATAGTGGGTTTTTTCTGCAACAGGGGAGGGGGAAACCTGGCCCCACCAACCTTGGCCCCTGGTTCTTTTAAAAAATGTTCTGATATGTTTTACAATTATAAACAAGTAGTATAATTTTCTTGATTTCTGGCAAAGCCTGTCAGATCAGAGAAATCCTTGGATTTCTAAGTACTACAGATGACATGCCTCGAGTACCAGGCCTAAATCTATTAAAACATACCCTACACATAACCACTATTAAATACTATGAGTATCATTAATAAAAAATACAACAAACATGACACAGGCTTACCATATTTTCTAGGCAGGTACTCCTTCACACTTTCTGGTTTTAACTAGCCCAATCTCTTCCATCCTCTAACAAGCCAGGATATGGACAACCAGATTGTTATTTGAGTTGCTAGCAAGATGGTCACACCCAGCAACAGGACATTCAAAGGGGCCGTCTGGTATTTTTGGCAGCACTTGCATGTTGACTGTTTGCTGTTAAGTGGAAAGCTCCAACTGAGCTAGGCCTACAGCGATTGTAGATGACAGCTATCACAGGCAGATAATACCGGTAGAGGTCTATTTTTATCACTTCTGGCGTGATGTACAAGCGAAATTGTAGGCCTATCATTTATTGCAATAATCACACTAAATCATGAAACAACCTCTCACATTTATTAGCAAACGCAACAACCGGTTATCCTCCTTTTTCATTTTCCTTAGAGGGTGTAATGTTCAAATTTCGCGATCCAGTTTGGTCACTTGTGGTCGTACACATCAATCTTAAAATGTACATTAATTTTATGTAATTTTAAAAAACTTATAAAAAACTATTATTCGTAACAAATCACTAGTATTATTGACCAACACAGTAGCCAGACTGTAAAGGTCTTCCCGAATAATATATCCTCCGTACAAAAATTAGGCGTAGAAATCCGTCTCCAAATAAGGGCTGGCTTCTGCGCGAATTTTGTCAAATATTGCCTTGACCTAAGGCCAACAAAAAAAAATTCTTTTGGCCACGTTTTGGGAAAATTAAAAAAACGACGCAATGAGACTTAGTGGATATCTTATGACAAATCTTGTGGCAAACTTGCCAATACTTTCTGGCATACCCCTGCAAACCTGAGGAATCAAGCTCGCTAGTAAGTGCGACAAACTGGGAAGCTAAATTCCTCAAATAACAGCTTTCAAAGAACAAAGGCTTTGACGGAATCATTTTGCTACCTAGGCCCATAAACTGCAGTCGCACCATCTACAACAACCATATTGTTATTGGATCAGTGACAGGTGGCCTCCTGAACAATGGTTTCTTCATCAACATCACACCTTATGCAGTTTATCGAAAAATCATCAAACAAGCCAAAGGGGTGTGACCTTGGGAGAAAAGCCTGGGTCCATTTGAACAGACTACGCAGTGGTGTAGACTGCACAAAGCTCTTCCTCCACAAGACAGAGTGCAGAATACCCACCCGGAATTGTGACTGTGGAGAGCCACAAACCATCAATTACATCATCGATGATTGTGAGTCTCCAAGAGGCATGCCTGGGTTGATTGAATTGAAGAAAGGTGAAAAAGAAGTTAGCTGATTGAAGACGGATCTTCCATTGTGATTGATTTTGGACTTACACGAATGAACCCGAGGGAGCGATGCAGTAATAAGTTTCCATTTTGCGCAAGCATTTCCATAGCGATTTACTGCGCAAAATTTGAGCTGGTTAGATAGTAACTTCATATAAAAGCTGCAAAAAAAGCAGTATTTTATTAAAGCATTTTAAACAAAATAGTACCAAGTATACGAATATCTTTCTAACAGATTAGACCTAGGCTAGGATATAATAGGACGATCTATTTCTTAGATAGGTAAATTCATGAATTGAAACCAATAAATGAACTGATGGAAAATGCCTATCTCAGTCAGGTGCAGCCTAGGGCCATTCATCAGCATTCCTTCTACATACAGACAGGCCTAGCCCATGGGCTATTTGATTGGCTTACAAATAAATACGTCTAACTCATTTCATCTTAATCATTGTCTACATCTTCAACCATACTTTGGCCTACCTTAAGTCCTAGGTAGACCTATAAATATTATTAAATATACATACATATTAATATTCAATACCTGAATGATCTCATAAACATTACTGTTTACACACCATCAACAGAGCCAATTTTCAAAGCGTAAGAAGGTGAGCCCTCTACAGTTAATTATCGCCGCAAACTTTAAAAACTTTCATGCGCATGCACAGGTATCCTTCCCACCCTGGCCTTATATTTATCCCCCTCTATCCTTGTAAATAAAATATGCTATTTATTTTTATTTCTATATTGTATTTATCTTATTGTTATCTGCATAGCGTCTTTTTTTAATCGAAGAAAAATACAGAAAAAAAAGCAAAATAAATTTCTCCTGAATTATAAAATACAAGGAGGCAATACAAGAGAGAGAAAAAACAAACATACAGAAAGTTGAGGATGTGAATGGACCTTTCCATAGTGTCAAACTTCTGACCAATCAGAACAGGGAGGAATATGTGCACTTGTCCAAAAAACACGTGTTGTCCATTAGCTGATCTGGAGGGGGTCAGAGGTCCTGACCCCCCCCCCCCGGGGGGGGGGGGTCAGAGGTCCTGACCCCCCCCCACCTTTGGGCAAAAAAAATAAATAAATAAATAAAATAAAATAAAAAATTCTTGACCCGTGAGCTGAAATTTTTGTTGTTACAATGAAAAAATTAGAAGTCTGGATTCATTGAATTGTTTTCAAGAGAGAGAAAACCTATATTTTTAATGACTTAAATGGTCATTAAAAGACACCTCAGAAATCGGGAAAGCTCATTTCCTGCTATCAGGAACCAACATTTTCCCGGAGGAGCACCACCGACCTCCTTTCCTTTTGGGTTTTATCAATTCATAGAAAAAGGAATCGTAATGCAACTACTCATTTTTTTTCTGTATGTATACCGGTACACACATAGGCCTATTTACTATAGGCCTAATAATAATGAGGGAAATATATAACCTGACCGTTTTCAAGAGGGGATAAAACCTTGAATTTTGAAGACCTTAAGGCATTATAAGGCAATTCAGAAATCTAGAAAGCTCAATTCCAGCCATCTAGGAATCAACAATTTTGCGGACCCTCCTTTCTTTTTGAGGATTTTAGAAACATTCTGACCCCCTCCTAAATTTGAACCCAGATCCGCCCCTGTTGTGCCACAGGTACGGTACAAACGCATATTTTTCAATTAAGCAACAATATAAGTTGGGCTTGGTCCATACAGGAAGGCTTAGCTAGGAAATGTTCATTAGATGCTTTTGGCAACGATTTATTCAAGATTCTTTACTTGTGTCCATTCGGAAAATCAGTTGGCACATCACATCGCAAAACAAAGTGCATGTTTAATACAAAACAACAACATTATTATTATAATTAGGCCCTATTTGATATTTTGATTAATGGATAATGGTACGAATGAATTAAGATTTGTTCTACATCTTTGTGATTTTAAACATTTACCCGAGGGTAGCCAAGTAAAAGATGCGTTTAGTGGATGGGAACTGTCAAGATATTCTTTACCTTATCAATAATTTTAATCTCATAGACATCATCTAGATGTCTATTTTGTTGTAGAATTTTTCCAACCTGATTTTTGATACACTTATTCTGTTATAGGCCTTATCGTTTTTTCTTAATATCACACCGTACATAACTTCCAAACAAAAGAGCGCTTTCAATAACAGAAGAATAAAAAGGGCTCATTCACTGACATGGAATGATCGCATTATATGGTACTGATAATTCGTCTTCATAGCATAAAGTAAATATTTGATGAAAATTGCTTTCTTGGCATGGTACCAAATACATTATATTGTTTGGAGGTGTGCATGGTGAAGTAATTAAATGCTAGATACCACTACCACGTATATAGTTCTCTGAAAAGCACTGTTGTTTTTGTTGAGAATGTCGACGTTTCGATTGAGTATTGGTATCACCCACTGATATCACCAGACATAAATTAAATGCATTGCCTCTCTACTGTACGCTTTTTTCCATCATTATTATATGATGCATTTAAATGTGAATAAATTGAATTGAATTGAAATTGAATTGAGGTGCTTCTGTCGTATCTGCAGAGAATCCGAACAAGGAAATACTTTTATGATTGGAAAGAGAGGATTGCAGCTGATTGGTGAAAAATAAACAATAGCTGAACTGCACAAAAAGAGGGAAATCCCCGTGACCAGTCGAGTATAATGTCTAGCCGTCGTATGTTGTATTGCAAGTACAGTTCTAATCGCGACACGCCTATCATCTATATTAATTACGTAGTTCAGAGGTTTGGTGTGGTGCCAATGCTACGTCCGTGTATATAATTTTTCTCAAGAAGAGGTTTAATTTCAAAGATTAACACAGGATGACATCAAAGGAAGGTCTGATTTAGTAGTATAGTAATTATTCTCTAGGCAGGCTCACTCACTGGGCAACGGGAAACTTTGCTGTTTTGTACATAAGACACCCTGCCTAAGCTGTTGGTGTAGCCAAGAAGGTATAAAACGGGTGTAGCCTAGGATTAGGCCTAATCCTGGCCTGCTGTAGTAGGCCTAGCTGGTCGTATCTGGGCCTAGCCTAGTACAGTAGTATGCCTAAGAATAGATAATGATGTGCTATATGTTCACTGCAACTTCGTATTGTCTGTTTAGTTTAATTTAAATTTATCCACTCTGGCATTTTCTGCAGGGTTTTTGAATTTAGTTAGTTTACTGATTTTTCGCAAACATCATACTAAATTCTACAGCTCATGATGGATGGATGGATGTTTCTTTTTATCCTTAGGGCAATATGGCTTTATAGCTTTCCTGTTCGGGTACTTTAATAGTATATTTCAGGCTTTGAAACTGATTTTCTTTCAGTTGAGTGCAAACTTAAATTTGTACTTGAAGACTTAATAGCACTCTGGGGTTATTAACGTAGCCTTTGAGTCTTCTAATAGAGTAGTTGTTGTTTTGGTGCTCATGTCAAACTAAAATATAAGTTTAATTTACAATTTTTTTCTTTTTTTTTTCAGATGAAAAAAATGGTGCAGGAGGTGGTAATGATGCACCGCAAGTAGACAGTAAGTACATCTGCATTTATTTTTTGCCAATTTCCATTTGAAACAAATCTTTTATTATCTTTAAATCTGAAGTAAATAATGGGTTAAATGATATAATCAGTTTTTTTTGTAGGCCAGTCATTTTATTATTGTTCTATTTTAATATGTTTAATATCTTTAGAATACGATAAAATTATATGTAATAATATTCATATTAAGTGATTTTTAAGTCCCAACAATAGATATACGTCATGCACCTTTATAACACAGGTGGGTGAAGTGCGGCCCAAAGGCCAAATGATGATGATTTTGTTGTGGCCTGTGAAAATAAACTAAAAACCCTATTTGTGGACCCAACAACCATCTCTAGCTAGAAAACACCTTGTATTTTTATGCCCCAACAACAATCATTTTTAAGAGTAATTTTAAATCTGAGAATAAAGTTTTTTCAAGCACACTAGAAAAGTCAAAGTTTGGGTGTGGCCCTCAGTGTTAAATCAAAAATTCACTTTGGCCCTCTGACTGTTTTTTATACCCACCTCTTGCCCTATAAGAAATAAAGTTAAACCCATAGTCTACTGACCGCTTGTACAGTACTATATTAATTTAATGTAATTACATTTTTTTGTTGCAGTGGATGACTTATCTTCCCTACTATCAAAATTTGGTTTGAAAACTTCTGAACAAGAATCTAAACCAAAGTCAGAGAAGATTTTAGACGAGTTAACGATTGAAGCTGTTGCAAAATTTATGAAAACTGAAAAATGTAAGATTTTATGGGCATTGTTGGATATGGTAGCATTGGCGTAGGCTGAGGTGGGGGGAGTCTGCGGATGAATCCCCATCGAGGAAAATTAGTTTCCCTGAGTGGGTTAAAATAATAAAAATGACCATTGAGTTTTCATTGGAATAAGAAATTAGTTCCATATTCTCGATTTTTGCACCTCCCAGGTAAAAACCAGCCTATGCCCTTGGGATAATTCCATTGGACTTAATAATTGTAAAGTTGTAAATTGTAATTACAGCTAAAAGCTAATTGCTGTATCTGTCCCAGTGTGTGCCACCTTATCTGCCCTGTACCTGACTCTGTATCTGCTATGTATAGGGATATGCTATCTATCTCATGTTTGTATGGAGGAAAAATATCCTTCCCATGGTATACCATATATTGCCTAAACTTGATTGCTTACAACTAGAATGTTTTCTTACAGGTAAAAATATTGTTGTGATGGTTGGAGCTGGTATCTCAACATGTAAGTTTGATGTTTGATTTATGCATTTTTAATTTGTTAACTACTTTTTATAATAATAATAATAATAATAATAATAGGATTATAAAAATTCACCAGGATTATTTAATCCATAAAAAAACATTTGATATCATAATAATAATAATAATAATAACAATAATAATAATAATAATAATAATAATAATAATAACAATGATGATAATATCATCCATATTATATCACAATTTGAAACCTACATGATATGGACTATGAAAACACGTATTCAAGTCTATTTACTGCTTTTGATTCATCATTATGACAACAAAGTTGTCTTTAAATGTGGCAAAGTCAAGCCAAACCAGTCACTCGTCGCAAATTGCGTTTCAGAGAAAATGGTTAAAACATGCTGGAATGGAATTTTTAAAAGTCTATTTTATTGCACTAAACCAGCCTTTATATACTTATACATCATGCTATGCTGATATTATCCCCATTTTCAATGTTAAAACAACACTTTTTAAGGATTTGATGATAGTTTATACATGAGAAATGCCCAAAATCATAAACTTTGTGGGCTGATTTCTCATGCATTGTTCTTTAAACAGTTGTATGTTTAAATCATCTTGTAACTATCATTAGGAAATGTTGGATTTGAATGATTTTTTACCATTTTATAGCCCTTATTTTACTCACTGTATTGATAACTCAAAATCGATTTTTTGTGGCGAGTGACTGGTTTGGCTTGTCTTTGCCACAAATTGACACAAGTGTCATTTTGAGAATAGCTACTTCATTTTTAATTTTATGCCTTTTGTTCTTTCGCTCATAATCCATGTAAACCAATTATGAATTGTACTCCTAGCTTACCTTATAACTGCAGTGGCCTATCTAAGGGGGCACTCCCCCTAAAAAATACTTGCTCTCCCCCATTGAAAATGTTCAATGCAAAAAAATCACGCTCAAGTAGATAAAAATCACCTTATTTTGCAAGCTACCTACCCTCACTTAATTATCAAGCCTCCCAACCCCACCTTCGCATCCCCATCAAACCCCCACCCCATTCTAAGACATCTAAAACTACCACTGCATAACTGGTACCCCATGCTCTCTTTATTATTGTTTATATTTTGATATAAGAAGTAAAACCAAATTTCTTTTACAGCGGCAGGAATCCCAGATTTTCGCTCACCTGGGAGTGGACTTTATGACAACCTTCAAAAATACAACCTCCCCACTCCTCAAAGTATATTTGAAATTGGATACTTTATGGTACGGTAATTTTTTTTTCTGTTGTGAAATTGTAATAAGTAAGGCGCGACTTTTTTTATACATCGTTTAGCGAACCCACCGCCTCCAATAATGATGGTTTTGAATAAAAATAAAATGTTATTTTTTGCCAATTAGCGTACATGCTGCTACGAAAAAATGGAAATTTCAGAAAAAAATAAAAATTTTTCTTTATTTTTTATTACAACTGTCGCTGATTTGAAATCTCCAAAAATAAGATATGTATATTTCTACCTAATTAGGCCTATGTAAATTTAAAGCATTTAACCATCCCATCACTACACTGTTTACATTCAACAATAAAACTGTATGTTTATTTTCTCCTCCTTCTGGATGTTTTTGGCAAAACCATAGTAAAGAAATTTTTTTTCCACCCTCCTCTGACGATTTAAAAAAAAATAAATTTGCGAAACAAGGTTTAAAAAGTATCACCTAATCTTATTCTTTGTATCTGTATTACTGCTAATAATGACAACTTTATGTTTACTATGAAAGGTATGTTGGAAGACAGGTAGCTTTTAAAACATAGTTTGTCTGTGATACTATGCAGCTTATGTTTATATTATCAATGGGCACTCAAAATACCACTCAGGATTAAATTCATATATCAATTCATCTGATAACTTTATTAATACAGCAGAATTCCTCCTTTGGGACACCTATTAAAGGGACAACCCTATTATATGGGGACACTTTTTTGGCCACGAAATATGGAAAATATTTCTTTTAAAACTACAGGCAACCCCTAGTCAAGGGACACCCCTATCAATGCTACACTTATTTTGGTCTCAAAGCTGTATTTAAAATTTGAAGTTGAAATGTATTTTTTTGTTTGTACGTAAATGTTTGCATTCTTGTTTAATTGTAATCGTTTAATGACTGTTTTTATGTGTAAGCAGTGTCTGAGACTGATTTGGTTTACACTTGAGCAGGGCTGGCAAGTCTCCCCACTTACCCTGGAGTATCCAGGAATTTTGGTTCATCTCCCGGAAATTCTACATTTTCTACCAGAATTTGAATTTCTCTTGTATTTCTCCAAAATTTTTAAAAATGTCCACAATCAGGGCTTATGCTAAGCTACAGTAAATTTTAAAAGTTTTAAAAGATTTATTGAACATTTTAGGCAGCAATATGGTATTAACAGTGACCTAAATCTGTTTGTTTTATATTGAACAAGGCGATTTGTACATGCATGTTAGTACCGTTTGTACCGTTAGTAACGTTTTAGTTAGTACACGCGTCACAAACCTCTGCCTGTCCTGCAAGACAAAATCTCCAGGAATTTGACTTTTAATTGGGACCCCTGCCTTGATTCATGAAAGATGATTTAAAATGAATAAGCTTTAATTGTTGTTTGTTCTTTATCTTCCAGGAACGACCTGAACCATTCTTTAAATTAGCAAAAGAACTATATCCAGGCAGTTTCAAACCAACGCCTTGCCACTACTTTATCAGGCTCTTAGCTGAGAAGGGCAAGCTTCTCAGGGTCTTCTCGCAAGTACGTACACTACTTTACTGTATATACCGACTACATAGATTCATGCCCTCTAATGCTTACAATCTATGTATATGGTATATAAAACAAATATTTACTGGGTTTTAATTGGGTCATAGTTCAAAATATAGCCCTGTGGATCTGCAGGCTGTACTGTCCCTTGACTTCATGTTGGGAAATGGTACAGCCTATCACCTCGGGCTATATTTTGAACTGTGACCCCAACCCAGTAAATATTTCTATACTATCTCATTCTTCTTGATAGAACTTCTGGTGTCATCAGCTTGGTCGGACCCCCTGCCAGACAAGCATGGACCCTTTGTCATCCTCTTAAGGGAGTCAAACTGCAAATATAATTTTGACGATTCAGCTTCTTAATGCGATTTATCATTTTTTCGTGGCAAAGAAGAATTGGCCCCTTAAACCCCACCCAGTGCGTTTGCCCTTGGAACTTAATCAGAAGTTTTACAGGGTGCCTTGGTTCACACCACTGTAGAACTTGTTCACCTCTGTCAGCAAATCTCTGCTCTAACTTGGCATTGTTGTAATGATTGGGTCAGGCTGTTTGTTATAGCCTACACATTGCAGTATAATGACTCAAGATACAAGCATATAACAAAACCTTAATATACCACAAGTTGTTCGCAGCAGACATTAAAGCATCCATCCAATTGAACTTACAACATTGAACGTGCAATATTACCTGTTAATATTTTAGAACATAGACACACTGGAGAGAATTGCTGGTATTCCAGGTGATCTCATCATGGAAGCACATGGAACATTCCACACGGGACACTGTCTCGGAGAATGCAAGAAGGAATACACTCAGGAATGGATGAAAAGTAAGTGGTAAGCTCTTCAAGTGGTAGAAATGTGCTAAAGATAAAATTCCAAAGTGCCCAGAATGCGATGGCATTGTGAAGCCAGATATTGTCTTCTTCGGTGAAAGTTTACCAGCACGATTTCATCATTTAATCAAGGAGGTAATGCGATTTAAGAAAGCTGTTACAACCTATTTATTTCCAATTAGATGTAGGCATAGATGCGAAACATCTCTATGGCACCGGTAAATATTGTCTAGGCAGTCCTTGCACCTTATATTGCAGGGGAACGGTGCAGGAATGTTTGAATCCTCTTGTTTTATTTTTTTTTCTTTTGGGTTTGTCTTTGGTTAGTGTATTTCTTGTTTCAATATCTGATGAGTTTTTTCAACAGTATAAATAGTACTATATAAATGTTGCATTATTATTATATTGTTATTAGTACTCACGTATGCACGCCATTGTAAAAGAAAATCCCCCCCCCCCACGTCCCACTGGAAATTTTTGAAGCAAAAAAATTATATTCTATAGTAGTTAAACCTCATACTACCTTATTTTTCCAGCTAGGGCCCCTTACTTCATCATCGAGCCCTACCACTTCACTGTGGCGCCCTCCACATCTTCCCCATTTCAATACCCTTAGATGCGCCACAGCCTTAAATGAATGGTAGTTTTCGTCCTAATGATTATTTCCTTTCTTGTCAATTTCACTCTATTTTTTACCTTTTTGTATAGGATTTTCCAAAAGCCGATTTACTCATTGTAATGGGAACGTCTTTGAAAGTACAACCATTTGCAAGTCTCGTTGATAGGTAAATATTTGTTCTTAAAATATATATACTGCACCTTGTTTAGTTAATTGGTTATTAGACACTTTTAACTATTTTGGTCTGAGACAGCTATTGCTCTTGCATCCACTTTATAATATTTTATAATGAATTGTGTATTTGACTTTTTAAGTATGATTTTATTTCTTTTACATATCAATACACACTTGCTACTTACTTAGATGGAAGTTGTGCTTTATAATCTAGGTCTCATAAAATAGAGTTGTTATTAATCCTGAGTTAATTGGTTATTAGATGCTTTAACTATTTTGTTCTTAGACAGCTGTTGCTCTTACATGAATTGTATATTTGACTTTTTACTTATGACTTTATTAAAAGTATGATTTTATTTCTTTTACATATCAACACACACTTGCTACTTACTTAGATGGAAGTTGTGCTCTATAATCTAGGTTTCATTATAATCTTATAAAATAATGTTATTAATCCTGAGAAAAACATATGGTGCTATACAGGATTCGAACCATGACCCTGAGAATGGAAGATGAGCATTGTAACAGCATTACTGGTGTCCTACTTTGAAAGATAATTATTTTTTTCGCTCTATTCACTACAGGGTTAAAGATGACACCCCTCGGCTGTTGATCAACTTGGAGAAGTGTGGGCAGGTATTTTGACATGACATTGCTTCAGCCAATCCCGGAAGAGTTCTTCTCCTGATGAGTGGCAATTTCACTTTCATTATTATTCAGATGAATACTGCACTTGTTAGAAATTTATACTGTATATTTGTTTTTATTAAATAATTTCTTTGTTTATTTTTACCTGTCAAATATATTCAATTACATACCTAACATAATTATAAGCACATAATTATACTATAACAAAACTAGAAACAGCTGTTCCTTCTATATCCACTCAATAATACTTATAATAAAAATAAATTAATTAATTTGTTATTATTAACATTGTAAACATATATTTTTGACATTGCTATTTATGTATGTATATTATTTATGCATGCAAAATGCATCAATTTAATAATATATAGGTACAGCAAAATAATAAAGTAATAGATAGTAATAATGATCATATAATTAAACTTTTAGGTGGATCCATTCATGAAGATGCTGGGTCTAGGTGGTGGAATGGATTTTGATGGTGAAGACAATTATAGGTAAGTATGAATGAATGCATAAAAACAAAGGCAAGACAATAACTTGATTGTGATGATTATAATGATGATAATGTTGAAAATGATGAAGAAGATGATAATGATAAGGACAACATCTATAAATAATAATAAATAATAATAATAATAATAATAAAAATAATAATAATAATAAATAACTAGCACTAACTCGGACTTAAGGGGAATATCTTTTGTGTTATTTTCCACTTAAGATTGTTTTTTTAATTTTTCCATTGTCTAAGTGCCCCTTAACGTAGGTTTTAGTAAAAAAATAATAGTAATAATAATAATTATAATAATAATAATAATAATGAGGTCAAATATCTGTAAATTATATTAGCATATCTGTGAAAAATTCTAATATTCAGAGACATATAGACAATGTTTTTTTTTTTGAATGATTTTGGTGGCAAAATCGTCTGAGTTTAACTTTAAGAAGTTAAATGACAGCAAAACGGAATAAAGCAACGAAGCACAAAGAATGCCTTTCACTCCAGGTGCCATGCTAATAGCAACAATCGGCGCTAGAATCAGCCAGGAATTAGCGTTGTTCTACAAAGCGTGAATAAATCTTGGTTCTTTATAAACTAAAATAACCCGTAAAACATTAAAACCTCACGAAAATAAGGTACACTCACACCATTAGAATGTTCGCCGAACAATTCGTATTGAAAATCCACACCAAAAGGCATTAAAACACGAAAAAAAACGGCAGAGAATCAATAACCGGGAGCTCCACAGAAACACGTCCGCACGCCTTGCCAGCTTGCTTTATTCTTGCTTCAAGTAATTCATTCATTTATTTTTGTATTTTTGCATTCATTTATTTATATGTGTATTGTACAATATATGAATAAATTGAAAAAATATACTTTTTTTGGAGAAAGATAATATGGTGGATTTTATTTTGTGAAAAAAAAGAAGAAAATAATAAAGATATTAATTGAGATAACTATCAACAAACTAATTCTCCATGCTATTTACAAGTACCCACTTTGTACTCATTTGTTTGTTTGTTCGTTCGTGGATCCATAATCACAGGAGATACACAGTGTTAATGTAGCTTCCTTTAGAGAATAATTGCGATTAATGGATTCTTGTTGACTGGTACAGTCGTAGTAGGGTCACCACCATAGTACTTTGTACTATGTAAAGTATAATACAGTCTTGAATTCAAGTTTTTTTTTTTTTAAATGAGTAATGGTCTGTTACACTTAAATTTCAGGAAGAGTTAGAGGAAATGGTGAAAAATGAACATGCAAAGATTGGCAAAGAGGAAGATGCTGCTATGAAAACAAACACGGCACCCAAGCCTAGTAGCCCAAGTAAAGGTACAAGCAGCTTATAGAGTCCACCTGCAAAAGTGTCTCATATCATCTTCGAAATATTAAAATATTGCAATGGTGTTTTATTTGGACTTCAGCTTCAACTGAACATTGCTGCTCATCTTACCATAAAAGCACCTCGCCGACAACATACCTCTCCTGTTCTTTTCTCTCTTCACTGAGTTTCCGTCACCAAACAAATTCCTACAAAATACTGTATTAGTTTTTCATTTATAAAACTCTCCATTATCAGGCCCCTTCCTGTTTTTCCGATCTTATTCAGTTACACTCCCAAACCTGCTGTCGTTCGCTTAGATTTATCTCTAGCTCTTCCACACTTAAACCTGTCCACAAATTGCTACATACTATTGCCGACTCCTTCAGCGATGCTGTTGGTCAGCTGAATCTGGGAGAGCTACGCAGTGCAAGGATTGCTGAAGCGACCATGTAGCGATTGTATGGAAACCAGACTTGACTTCTCATATATTGCGATCAATACATGTACACAAATTTCAACTTTTATAGAGGTACAGTATCATGCAGTGATTTCAATCACTACAGTACCATTTTTGTTTCTCACTCCCCTCTACCTCCTTTTCTTTCTTTTTTTTTAGGGGTCCCTCTCCCTAAATCCACTGCTGCAAGTAAAGGTACAAAAAGCTTAAAGACTTCATCAGAAAAAGTCAATGATGGTGGTGGTAATAAATGTGTGGTTTGGGCAACAAACAAAATTCCTTCAAAGACTACTAGCCCAAGTAAAGGTACAAGCAGCTTAAAGGCTTCATTAGGAAAAGTCAATGGTGGTGCTGCAAAGAAAACACCATCAAAATCTAGTACCCCACGTAAAGGTCCAAACAGCTTAAAGACTTCATCAGGAAAAGTCAATGGTGGTGGTGATAAATCTAAGGTTGGAGCTGCTAAGAAACCACCATCAAAGTCTAGTATCCCAAGTACAGGCACAGGCAGCTTAAAAAGTTCATCAGGAAAAAGCAGTGGCGGTGCTGCAAAGAAAATGCCATCAAAATCTAGTACCCCAAGTATAGGTGTAAGCAGCTTGAAAAGTTCTTCTGGGAAAAGCAGTGGTAGGGCTGCAAAGAAAACACCATCAAAATCTAGTACCCCAAGTAATGGTACAAGTAGCCTTTAAGGGCAGCCAGAAGTCATAAGATATAAAAAATCATTTAAAATCTTTATTTTAATTAGTTTAACAATAAACTAGATTGGATTCCTGTCCCTAAATTTTGTCATAGTGAAAATAAATCAATGTTTGCTCCAATGGCGTTCCATATTATACTTTAAATTCTACTCAAAGATCTTATAAACACAAGATAGAATTCTCCGCGATTTATGCGTGAAAATTCTTGCAAAATTGAAAACTTTTGAACCTTGACCGCTCTGACCATAGCGTACGCCACGCAACTTTACGTTTACGTGTAACATTTAGAAGCATCCGATTTACAATGCGCCCTCTCTTAGAACATAAGGAACAAATTAACGTACTTGGTAACGAACTTATGGCGTAACGCGAACACCCTATCTCAGATCCATAGCAACGACTAGGACGCCCTCTCGCAAAACTGATTACTTTTCCGTGTCAAATAGACACTTCTATTTGTTACGCGTAAATCGCGGAGAACGATATCTTGTGTTTGATTCTACTACATAAAGACATTGGTGGCGCTCTCCAAAAGTTTATAAGACTAGAAAAAATAATTAAATTAGAGACTTGTGTCAATTCTAACAAGAAACACATAATATACTATTGAAATTAGATTAAACAAATGCGCTGAACTAAGATTAACAATAAATAATTATCAATTTGAACTGCTCATACATTTTTTATACCTTGTATGGAGTGGTAAAATGCTTTAAATTTATATAATGTAGGAAGAAATATACATATCTTATTTTTGGAGATTTTAAGGCAGCGGAGGGCATAATAAAAATGAAAAAAAAAATTTTCTAAATTTCAATTTTTTGTGGTGGTGGGTGTGCTAATTGGCCAAAATTTATTATTTTTTTCTTTGATATAATCAATATTGGCGTGTATACTAAAGTTATTACTTTTCAATTGTAGTTTTGAACTAGATTATATTTAATTTATATACAGTACCTCAGTAAACGGTCTGAGATTTAAGAACCATAGCTTCTATGAATTGGGTAGCCAAAACTCCCAATATTAAAATTAGATAGAATGGTACAAAATACAATTACAACATTTACCTTGCCAATATTTGTGTTTTAATGTTGTTACATCATTGCTATGCCGGGAGAATAGTAGGTTGATACAGTAAAAATATGATTCATAATCTTTTAAATTTCAATATATAAATTCTTTAATGTTTCAATTATCACTATAAACTGTAGTTCAATTGGATGAAATTTTATTACAAATGGCTTTGTAAAAAATGAGATGAAGTTTATTTTAATCAAGGTTTGAAAATATTAAATTTTGTATTAAAGTATTTGAGAAATATGGATTTACATATCTATATTTGTATATATTATAAAAATGAATACAGTAAAGAATTATAATGTGTAAGGAATAGAAGTTGAGTATTGTGTACCCACTCATAATTATGATAGTAGATAGAAAAATAACAGCATAGGTTATAATGGATGTTGAAATATCTTGGCCATTAATAAGGTTTAGGAACCTGAATTGTTAATACAGCAATTTTATTTGGTAGTTAAGTTTGTTGTGTAAGTTAGTAGACCACTACTTTGCAATATTTAAATGATAATTGGTATTCAAGATTAAACTCAATAAAGAAATTAGGGCAATAAATGTCAAAGTTCATGCTGCACGAATGTTTCAATATTTCTCAAAAGACTGCATAGCACAAAATGTTGTGGCCAAGTAAATTTAGGCCCAGGATTTATCAATCTCAGCTAAGCAAATGCCTTGAGTCAAAAAAGTTAAGATGTCCCTAAAGCAAATATCCTAAACTGATTTATCAAACCATCTTAGCAAAACCTAAGTCTAAAAATCGTCTTAGATAGTGCATGCGTACAATCAACTTTTTAATTTTAAGCAATTTTTAATCTACCAGTATTAGCAATATTGATTTTGACTTATTATTATTGACTTAAGCAAACAAATGGACTTAAGACAAATTTAAGCTTATTTCTAGTTTAATAAATCTGTCCCCAGGACCTGTAGTAATACACTGTTCATCTCTCTCATGACTTTAAAAAAAAAAAATATGCTTTTATATGAATGAAGAGAAATAAATTCCATGTTGAATTGAACTAAGTTTTTTTTTTTGTTTAAAAGTACTGTAACTAAGTTTTTTTTTTTTTTTTTTTTTGGTTTAAAAGTACAGTATAAACATAAAAACCACTGTGTAGTAAAACAGAGAAACTTTCCAACTTGGTTCTCAATAATTTTTATTAACAATTATTGCATTTCTTAAATCACTATAAAAAAAATTCAACTACACTACTGTATAATCGTGTATAAAATAAATCAATAAAGCTGACCTGACAATTACACTGGAAGACATAATTTGATCATTTGAAATTGGTACAGTACATTACAAAATGTTTGATTATTACTATAGTATAAACATTATTTACTATATGTACTGGATTTATTAATTTTCCCATATTGCACTTATGGTACAGTACTGTGAAGTTACTATATATTCTCACACTCATTGCACTGTATATAGTACCAGGGGGAAAAGTGAAAGTAGCTATTTGTATAGGTGGCAGCAAAGTTGAATGCTCAATGGACCTGGTAAGCATTTTGTGAGTGGGACAAGACACAAAGGCTACAGCAGGAGCCACGGTGTTGAGGTCCGCCGGCAAAATGTCCCTGACAAAATTAGCCTTTTTATTTCGTTCGGGGAAATTTGGTGATTTAGATAATGTAATCAAAACTGCCAAATGATGAGATAAACAACAGTCAACTAGTGATCCATGCCTCACCCAAAGTCAGCCTGTTGTTTTGTCAAAATCAAGATTCAAACAATTTTTTGTCACATTATTGGTGAGCCCACAGGGGTTGGCCCACTCACTAGAATTGTTGGGTTCTGGCCCATCTATAAATCATATATATATATATATACTCTTTATCTCTTTCAATATTTTAATGCAAAATCTTAGTCTCACGGCCAAATTGTGTATACATTGAAATTTTTGTTAAAACAATATATTATATATATTTAAAATTCTTAAAAATTTATATAAAAAACATGAAAAGTTTTAGTTGTAAAAATAAAATGGTACCTCAATGTTCCTTTTTTCGTACTGGCTAACAATTAGACATGCTTTTGGCAAAAATGTATGATTTCCAATAAGAACAAAAATATATAAACTAAAGTAAGAATTATTGCAAGCAATTACAGAGCTTTCAGCAATGAAATTTCATCAATCTTCATTGACTACTCTGTAGTAAAGTTGTTCAAACCAACTTAAAAAAAAATATTTCTTTACGAATTGTGTAGGCAAAGTAATCGTGAATAAATATAAATTATATAATGATATATATAATTTAATAGAACTTTATATAAATTTATTGCTTTGCATCACAAGTCTGCCAGCTAAGTTTGGTCTTATCACACGTGCAATAAGGTGGGTTACAGCAAGGATGCAGACTAGGTATAGAGGTCACGAGTAATGAAGGTCGCACGGTTAGTGTCTCCTTGTGGCTCAGAAGCGCCTCTACCACTTTCTCCAGAATATCACTGTGACGATTAATATCTAGCGGATAGAGTTCACTTGGATCCTGTTCAACGTTGAACATGATTGGTGGGTCATGAACTTTGATACTCTTACCATCGCATGGTAAGCATTGATAGAAGTTTTCTTGAGGTACTCCATGTTTGCAAACCTTGTGAATGGCAGGGTTATATTCTTCGCACGTAAAAAAATGAAATTTATACGGCCCATATCGTACAGCATTCAATCTATCACTGCAATAATAGAATAACACCCTTGTACCTGTGTCGGTATTTTCCAATATGGCATCTTTTACACTCTGTCCATCGTAGGTTACATCATCAGATACGCTGCCATTGATCATATCAAGAATTGTGGGATATAGGTCCAGACTGCTTATAACTGCAGTTGATGTTTGACCAGGCTTTATTGTCCCAGGCCACCATGCAATGCCTGGAACTCGAAATCCTCCTTCCCATGTTGAGCCTTTGCCACCTGTGAAAAATTTGAGAGTAGGCACCTGTTTCATTCCAAAGTACTTCACTTCCTAATAAGTACCAATTTATACTTTTGGGTGAAGAGACAATTTAAAACAGCATGGGTCCGCACTTTCTCCTGCAAATCATGGGAATCTCCAGAAAATCGGAATGGTCAACTGTATTCCCACAAGCAAGAACCCCTGGGGAAAACAACCCATATTCCGCAAATTCATAATATTTGCATATTTTCAGTACGTTATTAACAAATGTCTCATGGAAAACAGTGCCAATGGGTATCATTATGCCCAGCAAAATAATGTTTGATGTGTTAAGAAAGCTCATTTAACCAGATCTGCTGAAAGTGGCTTGAGACCTCCAATACAGTGAAAATGTTTTTGCCAAGAGGACAAGCAGTTTGACCAAAAATTTGACATTTGATTAAAAGCCAAGCTGCACAACTGTGCCATTAGGTTCTTCAACGTTTGCTTTATTTTGTATTGGTGGGTGGGGACCTTCTTGGGTGATGGGGAGACTTACATGCTCTACCAGCAGACAGCCAGTGTTTTGTCTCTGTGACTCCCAGATTGTTTTCACCTTTTGGTGTTAGTTTCTGGTTGTTTTCCAGATTCAGTGCAGCGCTGTCCCCTTTTCTCTTCAGGTGGTGGGTCATGGTGGTCTCTTCCTGATCCTGTGACCCCCACCCCCCACGCATATGATTCTCTCAAGGAATGTATTTTTTATTCATCTTTTATTCATACTTTTTTAAAATTACCGAATTGCACTGTTTTTGCCAATCAGATCAATCAACAGTAATTTAATTTTTACCATGTTGTTAAAATGACAAAAAAGGAGTATTGTATCGTATTTTATCGTAAAGTTACTGTGAATATAGCAAATTTTTAAATATAGAATGAAATTAAAGAAGTATACCTTTGAATGAACCTGCTACCCCTCCCTCATTGCAGAGTTCTGTGTGTGGTCCGTGGTCTGAGGTAAACAGCACGAGAGTATTATTCTCAAGACTTAACTGTTTTAATGTGTCAATGACCTCCCCAACAGCCCAACTCATATCATTTACACAGTCTCCGTATATACCTAGAAAAAATAACAATACAGAAGATTATAAAATAATGGATTATATCATTATGCAAGTGGAATTTCTATTTGCAACAAAAACAAAATAATAAAAATTTCTAAAAAAAAATACTTTAGTTTTCACTTAACCACACATTTAGATCTGAGGCAAATTTTCAAACTAAATCTTTATAATTCTCTAACAAAATATTTCTGTAAATTAATTTTTTGAGAACAGGAAACAAATTGATGTTAAAAGAATATACTGTATAAAAAAATCAGACCTCGTTTTGATTTTCCTTTGAATTTGTCACCAGCAAACATTGCATCATGGACATTAATGAACGAGAAATAGAAGAAAAAAGGGTGATCTTGATTTTCATGGATGAAGGCTTTTGCATCTAATACCAGCAAGGATGTCAACTGTTGTAGTTTCACAGGTTGTTGAACTATTGTCGTGTTATAGTACAAAAAACATATTGAACGCAGTGGATGCTCTAGATGTACCTTCAAAAATGTGACAATGAGAATATTTACCTCACCATTGGATTATAATACGAAAATGTTTACATTTAAACACAATACAAACTAGAGCAATCACTCCATAGAGTTTAAAGCTCCACCCTGTGCCTGAATACCAACAATATGCAGGTCGTGTATGATGAGCAAAACTGCAGCATACCCTCAAAGAAATAATGGAATCACCTATCATATTTTGATGTGCCTAATAGGCATATTATTTTCTTGAGTGCTGCAGCATACCCTCAAGAAAATAATGGAATCATCCATAGTATTCAGGCACATTGTTTTCTTGAGTGCTGCCTGAATACGAGGGGAAACTCCAAGGGAATCACGCATCGTATTCAGGCACATTGTTTTTTTGAGTGCTACCTGAATACCGGGGCAAACTCCATGATTTTCTTTTACGTTCGACTGGTAAAAAAAATCAAATACTGTACAGTGCACCCTCCTATTTGAGAACGCTCTAATTTCCTCTGATTCGAGACCACTTTTTCAAAGAACCAAATAACAATCGTCAATTTTCTTTTCACACAAAGCTAACCCTCTAATTGGAAACAGAACCCCGAGACTAAATTTTCAGGGCTCAAAGTGGTCTCGAATTGGAGGGCGAACTGTATAAAAGCGATAGCCAATTATGTTGTAATAAGTTTAGAATGATTAACGTGACTTACACCAGTATCATCACACTGCCAGTGGTTTGTAAAGGGTATGTTGTAGCCCACGGTGTCAAATCCATGGTGAATAGGAAGATGACGGCCATCATCATTGTGAAACTCATTCATCCCTAAAAGGAAAACAACATTATTTACTTTTTTTTTTTAATAAGGTGAAACTTTTTTTATACCATGTTAGTGAACCCGCCGACCACCAATAATGGTGTTTTCGAATCAAAATAATAAATATACTAGAAATTGCAAATTGCAAGTGAAGTGCTGCGAAGTAAAACTGCATAAAATGTTCTTCGAACAAAATTATTTATGCGAGTCAAGTGAAAATAATGAATAATAAAAATATAACAAATAATATGAGACACGACCCATTGTATATATTATTATTAGAACAGTGTTGGTACCGTGTACAATAGTGTTTTGCTGCAGTGACATCTCGTTGCTGGCGACTCGCTGCTGCTGGCGATGACTCGTTGCTGGCGAATCGATCTGCGCATGTGTTTAAAATGGTATTTATTTCCGAAAACAGTATGCCAGTCTACAACAAGTGTCGCCTAAATGTAATAGTTAGCACGTTGAAATAGGCTAGTAAATAAGTTTAACTGGGTTCGTAAATAATATTGGCCTCAAAATAATGTGGCTGAGACATGAGCCGATTAAACGTAGAAATAGGAAACCTAGAAATATAGTAAAAACGCTGAATAGTACTCCGGCGTCGCGACATGCGGATGTTGGTACGAGTAGGTTAGTCTACAAACGTCGCCTAAAGTAATTGATTTTACCCGGCAGAACGAAAGAAGGAAACTCCGCTTTTCAGTAGTCTTAGGCGCAGGTTTTTTGACAAACAATGACCTTTCAGAG